CCAATGTAAATCAAAACACAAAACATGCAGCGGAATAAAATCATCAGATCATACCTTTTGATGATTGAACCTCGTGGATAAATCACGTGCTTCCAGAATCAGATCAATCAATCCTAGCAGTGGGGTGATATTACAATGGTGAATATCACCCACACAAACCACAGTGCAAAATGACTTTGATCGTTGTTTCTTGGGAGAGAGTCAGAATATGGGTTGAAACAGACTCAACGTTGTTTCTCTTGGATTACCCATAACCATATAACAAATATTTAATATATTATAATATCTATCCATATCAGTTAAGATACAGATAATATCTAATATATTATATCTATCTATATCAGTTCAAACTGATAACGTCTGTTTCAAGAGTGGTTATCCTAAATAGGTTTGATTTCAAAAACAAAACCTATTTGGATAAGGATTCAAAATCAAATTTTAATGGTCATGCCACATGGGCGCCCATTACTAACACATAGTATTGCTGAAGTTATAATCCCATGCAGGATGATATATTTACTTGGAAACTACTAAATAATTTGCAAGGTTTAAAAGCACATAAAAATCAAGCATTTTTCATAGGGAAAATCATTAATGGGTACTCCGTAGATAAAAAATTACTGATTATTTTAGCTAACAAGTAGGCTTGATGTATTTTAGCTTGCGAGGAAAAAAAATTAGTAGACCTATACACATAATATTCTTGGAGTCATAATAACCACTGACTATAACACAAATTTGGTAAGAGAGAGAAAACATACTTGTTGCATCCAACGAAGTTAGCTCCATTTGCACATTTGCCCTTCCATTTGGATGGAGGAGGTCCGAAGCCTACATCACTAAAACTGGGTGACTTTATCCAAATTCCTACAACAAAAAAATCAGAGAAAGACATCAAACTCAGTAATATAATAAAATAAAAAAAAAAAATGACATTCTAATTTGTTAAATATATGATATCTATTCTATGTTAGTGTTACTATGAACACATATATCATTATCAGCTTCAGATCATTTGTTATCATTCTCTATTTCAACTCTCTTATCTCATAATTCTAGTGTTGTTACAGCATTATAATTTAAATTCAATACAGGCTATTTGATTTTCAATATCATTTTCTTTCCCTTCGACACCACACCCACAACACAACACAGCAATTGCACCACCATTACTAGGCTTCACAGAAACATTTAATCAATAAAACACACCAAATACACTCCTCACTAGATATCAATAGTCATATATCAATCAATCAAAAGAACATAAGCATTCAATATAGTGACAATAACCCTTTTGCTAAAGAGTCCAGTAGAAGAACTGCAAACCCACAACGAAATTGCTGATTGGAACGCAACACGACGAATGCAACAAAGCTGGGCACCAATTAAAAGATCGAAATTTTAGCAGCCATAAGCATGAATCCAAGTTAAGTTGTGTCTCCATGTTGGGTGGATTGTCGAAAAGGTTGAGAATTTGGAGTATCCAAAGGGAAGGGCTTGGGTGGAGGTGTGTTTGGGGTATGTGACGATAGGAACAACAAAGAAGGGTTGAACCTAGTTTGGAGATGGGAGTGAATCCTAGTTGAGGTTTGAGATGAAATGTGAAGTTGGGTCAAGTTTAGCGGGTCTTGGTAGTGCGCAGAGAGTAGAGCGAGACCTTCCATAGTTGCACCGACTGTAAGGTCGAGTCAAGGGATTGCAACGAAAGAGGGGAGAAATGAAGTGAGAGTCCTTTGTGGCACTTTGGAACACAAGGGACGTGGCGCTTTGACAAGATTTTGGGAATAACGTCTTGTACCGACTCATTGGGGATGCGAGTTCTACACCAAGTACCTTACAAGCACATTATTTTGTAAACGGCAAGTCAGGCAGGGTAGATTCCTATCGCATCATCTGGATTAGTCCTTGGGCATAATGCACGGAGGTATGCAGTACCACTAATGGAGCCGGCTTCTCGGGAGGATGACAAACACCCAGTCCGTGACACGTGGTATCAGAGCAGGCTTGTGAGAAGGGAAGAAAATGCAACATATCTTCTGGTGCTAGCGAGACTATGGTGATTGAGCAAACCCATGGGAGGGACAACACTAGCAAAGCAAGGAAGGACAAGTCACGAGATAGGGCGTGACGTTGTTGTAACCATGAAAACTCGGCTAGCCAAGTTAAAGCTTGCCATGGATGACTCGGGGGAGCATCTTGATGTGTTGGAGCAAAGCTTAGAATAGGAGGTTGAAGGTCTCAAGGGGGAGATCAAGGAACTCCATGATGGCATGCTTTCCAACATCAACCCTGTGGTGCATGATAGCCAAATTGCCAATGATTTCCTTCCAAACCAAAGTGTTGAAGATGCTTGAGAACTTTGAAGCCCGCTTGGAGGAGATGCACCAAGATATGGCGATGTGCAAGAAGGCCATAGTTAGGGGAGCTGTGACCATGCTGGGGACATCTAAGGTGGAGGTACCAAAGCCAAAACCTTTTGATGGAAAAAGGGATGCCAAATAAGTGGGCAACTACTTATAACATATGGAAAGATACTTCGAAACGATAGCAGTAATCGTGGAAGATGCTAAGATACGAACTGTAGTCCTTTACCTTGCAGATACAACAACACTATGGTGGCGTCACAAACATGTTGACATTGAGAGAGGTACGTGCACCATAGCAACTTGGGATGATTTCAAAAGAGAACTTAAGAAGCAATTTTATCCCGATGATATGGCCTACCAAGCAAGGAAGAGCATGGCAAATCTTAAACACGCAAAGTCTATTCGGGACTATGTAAAGGAATTCTCTATTCTTATGTTTGAAGTCCCAAGTATGACTGATGAAAAACTACTCTTCAATTTCTTGGACAACCTACAACCATGGGCGGAGCGAGAATTATGCGGACATGGAGTGCAAGATTTTGCCTTGGCCATGGCAGTGGAAAAATCGCTTATTGAGTACAAACGTGGGGATGGTAAGGCCAAGACATCCAAGGATGACCCTAGAAGAAGTTCTAGTGAAAGTGAAGAGGATGTGGATGAAGGCATCGGATGCAAGGAAAGGCACGTCAAGCCTTCCACTGGCAAAAAGGGCAAAGGCAAGGTCAAAGAAAACAATGAGATATTCAAACCCAAGACCAAGTGTTTCCTATGTGATGAGGCCACATTGGGCAAGAGAGTATCCCAAGAGGCAAGCCTTCAATGCCATGATTGAAGAACGGAAAAAGGTGCAGACTCCGTAGATAGGATCTCTACAACTGGTGGTGCCATCGAATCAAAGCCTACTACATTGACCTAATGGGATAAGGGTTTAATGTCCGTGGATGCCAAGATCAACGGGAAGGCGACCCAAATCATGGTAGACACAGGCACATCGCACAACTTCATCAAGGCGGAGGAGGCCAAGAGGCTTGGTCTTTAACTTGACAAGGGCCAATGATTGATCAAGACGATGAACACCAAGGCAAAGCCCGTAGATGGCATGACTCGAGGGGTTGAGTTGCACCTTGGTAGGTGGCGCAAAAAAGTCAATTTTTTGATAGCATCACTCAATGACTATGACATAGTTTTAGGGATGGAATTCTTGCGAGAATTCAACGTAACACTGTTACCTCATAACAACGCTATGTGCATTATGGAGAGTGGGCCTTGCATGGTCCTAATGGTAAGTAAGCTAAATACTAAACTCAAACTTCTATTAGTAATGTATATCAAGTTCAAAACAGACAAGAAAGAGGTAGTAGGCATTGCCAAGAAGATGATTGGCTCTACAGAAGATAGTCCACCGACATGCACAGTTGTTAAGTCATCGATAGGGCAAGTGGACAAGGCAAATTTAAGAAGGCGCAAGTCAAGAAGAAAACTTGATGCTTCGAAGAAGAAGGCGCGACGAGGGTGTCGCAAGCATAAATGGGGGAGAATGTCACGTCCTGCCAAATTACATAGACAGAATTGCCTACCAAGAGGAAGTCTCAAGGAAGGGAGGCTAATGATATATTCTAGAAGCTCTTGGAAAACTTGAGAAAATTAGAGAATACGGTATATAATTCTATAATGTACCTAGAAGGATCTAGAATAAGTTTTATAACATTTAAGTGAATATTAGTGAGATGAAAGCAATAAAAGCTTCAGAACCGCCTAGAGAAATGGAGGTGGTAAAAGACCCTTGTACTTACTTCTAGAATGAGATGGATATTTGTATAGATATTTTTAGGATGGATTCTAGAACCCTCTTGTAAGATAAGGAAACCTTCCATGAGAAGCTTCTTCATAGTGCTTTTCTTGTGTATTCTAGAATACTCTAGAGGAATCTATAAATAGGAGAGGAGCTCATTTGCTCCAAACTATCCAAGAGTTGTACAAGTTTTTTCAAAGTGAATACAAAGACATTCTCTTAAACTCTCTTTGTCTTTTTACTTGTCTTTCTTGTAAATTTGTGAGTTAAGCTGACTTAGCATTATTAAGTAAGGCTTGTGATTGTCTAACTGTTGCACGGAGTGTTTGCAAATAACCAAAACCATAACAATAAGCCCTGAAATCCAGGTTTTATTCTCCCAACTCATTTAGGCGACAGTACGTATTAATCTTAGATGAATTATACCTAATATTAGGAGTGTGAATTTGAATTCCATTAGCCTAACTTATCGCAACATAATTGAGTCAATAGCAACCTCTAAGGTGACTTCTAGGCCTTGGTTCAATGTCTAGCATTTTTTTTAATTTTTTTTTTATTTAGTCCTCTGTGTGAGAAAGAGAATGGGTTGGTTTCGATACCATGTGTCCAACCTTATGGTAGGTTTATGTTATGACGAGTGGCTTTGATCAAAGCCCAAAAAGCTTCTTCTTTGGGCTCCAAATGTGCCCTAAAAATATGATAAATTCAATTTTTAATTCACTTTTTAGAACGTATAAAAGATATAATCGGTTGATAATTAGATAATTTATAAAATAAATTGTCTTAAATATTCTAATCAATTACTACATCATTTAATTTTAAAAAATTGATTTAATTTTTAAGTTTGATTATCACTACTCTCATAGATAAATCTTATGAAAGATTTAAGAGAGTTTTATTTATTGGGTCTCAATTAAAGAAACCTCCTATTATTTTGATTTTGTTTTGTCAAAACCTACATAAGTAGGGATCAAGTGACTGTTATGCATCTCACACAATTGAGTTCATTTTAGATTTTATTTTGATAATTTAAACTATTCAACTTTTAAGACACGTCGAGTATAACATACTTATAAAAAATTAAATTAAATTGATCAGATATTAGTAGCCCTTTCATTAAATGACATTTATATCTAAAAAAAAAATTAATGGTAAATATGATTTTAAGAAAAAAAACTAAATACAAAAGTGATTTGATGAAAAGATAACCGATATCCAATGATTTTGATTTTTTGCAAATGTATTATACTCGATATATTCTAAAAAGTAAAGAGTTCAAATTATCAAAATAAAATCCATAATAGACTCAAACCGCAGCAAAATAGCTGCTATGCAGGGTGCACTACAGCCACCTTGAGTCCACATAAGTATCACCCTCAATACCAAATTCAAAAAATTATTTTTATTAGTGAAGGGCTCTATTATTTTAATTTTAGCTTATCAAAACCGAACTAAATTTAGGCCTTTAGTACCAAACTCAAAAACGACACTACTTTATTAACCAAAGCCCAATGTAATTAATTTTAACTTTACCAAATTTTTTGAGATGAAAATTTCTTAGTTTTTAATATTCTCTAAATGCTTTCAATTTGTGTATCATTCCAAGTTTTACTTCACTTAGTTTTTAACTCTACTTCAAAATTGAAATGTCAAGAATTTGGATTGTTTTTAGCTTTTTAGATTGTGGATTGAATTGTTTACCTTATGTAGGTATAAAAATAAAATAAAATAACAAGAAAAAGTATAACAATTAATTCAATATCAAGCTAAGAGTTTTTTTGTTCAATTTTGTAACTAAAAATATAAGAAACGTAAGTAATATTTAAGTGATATTGTGGTCCAATTAGTTCAAATTTTTTTAGTATTAAAATTCTAGATATTTGTTTATTATTATTAGGCAAATGCTAACAAGATTGGTTTTTATCCTTTTAAAATTTTTAATAATCATGTCTCTTTAAATCTAATTTTATCTTTTCGAATGTTATGTAAAATATATAGCCCTAGTGATGAATAAAACATATCTTGGTTACCTGTATCTAAGATACCAATAATAAGATTGCTTTCAACTTTATCAATCCTTCTTACTTTCTCAGGCATTCCCAGAAAATCCCATGATCTTGTGGTGTGCAGTTCCCGCACAGTGTTTGGAAACACTGATACAACACTCTCTTTTTCTGCATAATAATTAACATCAAGAGATAAATGTTAATTAACATCATACAATTTTTTTTTTGAAAAAATAATATATATATATCATTGTTCTAGTAATTTTTAAGTACCAGATAATCTAGTTGCTTCATGTGGCAATAGCTTTGCCACAAACCCATTAAAGCTCCTTCCATAGCTGTGTATCTTCGATCCTTTGGCTATCTTCTCACTGTTTGCAAAATGTAAGTTTAGCATTAGTTCTTGGCACACAATTCTGTCAAAGAAAAGGCCTTTTCCTAACAATAATAATTAGGATGGTAAACGAGTCAAATTAAATTGAGTAATAGATTATTTAAGTTTGATTTTAAAATTTTCAACAATGCTGCAGCTACTGTCTTTTATACCATATTTTGCTTACTAGCTGATATATCACATTCACAACTGTTAGATATTAATAAAACTCATGCAGGATCCATTGCATCAATGGTAGTAGATGTCAACATAAATTTCAGAATATGAAACTTCATGTTTCGGATCATCTACCATGTATATCATCAAGAAAACAAGACTAAAACTTACCCGAATCCATCGATGAACGGTTAAACGGAAGCGTCTGATTGTCAATAAAACCTTTGATATTGACTATGTTATTGCCTTCTAATCCTTTCCCCTTTGGTGCCTTATGTTTCTATGAAAACCAACTTTAATCAATATGTTTTAATTTCTATTTCTGCTCCTCATAGAAATAGAAATTATACAACTAGTATCTACACATTAGGTCCATAACACATATACCCTTAAGCCTATTAACTAAATTGAATCACTTAAATTGTAGGCTTCTTATAAATGATAACACCACATTTAATTATGTGGTCCCATTGTGACATTATCTAACAGTAGATATATCACAACATATGGTAAATAAAATGTAATAAAAAAATGAGAAATAACAAATGAAATCTTTTTTGTTACAAGTTTGACATACAAGAGGGACTTGCGTCCCATGAAAATGTAATTATGTTTTCACTGCCTAACTCAAATATAATTTTCTCTAAAAAAATGTCAAATACAACATTATTGATGAAATTTACAAACCCTTTTTATTCAGTAACAACAGTAATAAAACTTTGAAATGTGAAATAGGAATCTATAAAATATGATCTATAAAACCCAATTTTCTACTTTTGTACAACCTTATTGGGCTGACCCACAGAATATGTATAATGTAAAGTATAAAGGATAGAAATTGAATTACTCTCCAATTGCTTCTAAAAGAAGGCTGTTGTGTTCGTCCACCGCAGAGACGCTGGTATGAGTAGTAGTACTAGGCAGATCTCCCATGTATACTATATATGTCTGTTTGTTCACCAAAACATAATTTGAGGGGAAAAAAAAAAAAAAGAAAAGAAAAAACATTCATTAGGAATAAATTAATCAAGAAAAAAAAAAGCATTGATCATGTAAACTTTAAAATTGAGATCATGGGAGAGAGATTTTCGATTAATTTAACTACCCTTTGATTCAAGTATTTGACTGTCTATAAAACAAGAATGGATCAACAGTGTTATGTATTCTATCTTTGCCCCTTTCTTGCATATGGTGGAGATCTCCAGTTCTTTACACATTGTGAAATTCAATGACTATCAAAAGAATCACATCATCAAATTTTTACAATTTTGGATTTAAAAAAAGGAAAAAAAATAAAAAAAATAGAATATTTATAATAAAAAAAGAAAAAAGATGTTAAGAATAATCTTTTGACTGATGGCAACACCATATTGAATTGAGAGGGTTCACCAGAATTCCTGAAAATTGATGTATATAAGGGTTAATTGGTGAAAAATATATTTTTATGAAGTTATGTTATTTGGTTCAATGTTTAATATTTTTAGTGATAAGAACACACATTGAAAAGTCATCAGAAAATTGGTTGAAAAAATTCATCGACAATTCGCCGACAGCAACGGTTGGTGGCGATGAAGTGAACAGATAGGAGATAAGTATACCAATAGGTGCATTTGAACAGATAATTAGATATTTTCATAAATAGTTAAACAGATAAGTGATATAGGTTACATTTTAGACAAGGAGATGGCATTTGAACCAATGTCTTTTTGACTAAATTTTTTTTTTTAAAATTTTGATATATTGGTCCAAAAGAGAACCTTTGGATTAAGTGCCCTAATACTTAAAGTTTTTCTACATAAAGCCAGTGATACGTTCAATCCCCCTCCCTCTCTCTTATTTATTATGGGAATTCTCCATAACCCTCGTACTTCCTTAACAAAAATAATGTTACATTTATCTTTTGAAAAATGTTATTTGTCATTAATTTATTTCATCATTTTTTTTTTATGTCTATTTATGTAATAAATGACATGTTTATGGATAGGACCCATTATATTTTAAAAAAAAATATTGAGACTTATTTTGCTAATTTGAAAATTACATGGGATGTAAAAGGCTTAGGGTGTGTTTGGTAACGTTTACGTTTTTAGTTTATATTTATAAAAATTTTATAAACTGGTTTTTGTTTATTTTTTGTTTATTTTTAAAAAATATAAACTACAAACGCGTTTGGTAATTGATAAAATGTTTAAAAAAAATTTAAAATATAAAAAAGAGTGAGAAATGGCAAGTTGTGGCAAGTGGCGGCGGAAGACGGTGGTGGAAAGTGGTGACGGTGGGTGGTGGGTAGCTGGT